CCCTGCACACCCACGCTCACCACCCCAACAGCCTGCTGACCAAGACCCCGCCCGGGCTGGTGGGGCCCCTGGGCGCCGGCCCCCCGCCGCCCCTCATCCCCACCGTGGCCCCCAGCAGGGCCTCCGCCTCCCCCCGCAGCTCCCGGATGGGGGGTCCCCCGGTCGAGCTGGCCATGTACGGTGCCCACAAGGACCGGGACTCCAGATAGTGGGGCGCGCAGTCGGGGCGCTCCCTGGTAGCGGGTGTCAGTTTGTTCCCCGGTTCCGGTGTCGTGACCCGCGGGGAGGAGAGGGCCAGCGCTGCAGGAACTCAAACCCTGAGCCGCCCCCAGCCCCTCTCCTTGGGGACAGGGCTGCTACCCCTCTGACCTCCTCTCCGGAGGCCCCAGTGGGATTCGGCAACGCAGTCCCTCCGAGGGGTCACCCTGTCCCCAGAGGGATGTCGGGGCTCCCCTGCTGTGGCACTGTGACAAAGTGTGTGGGGCGCCCCCGTTGTTTGTCCTCTGCTCTGCCCCCATGGTGGGGGGGGGGTGAAGGGTCTTGGAGATGGGGCGCCCCCGTAATGTATGGGTGAAGGGTCTTGGAGATTGGGCGCCCTGTTGTGGGTGGTGAAGAGGTTTGGGGAGGGGGTGCCCCTGTCGTGGGGAAGTGAAGGGTTTTGGAGATGGGGTGCCCCCGTTGTCGGGGAGTGCAGGGTCTCGGAGAGGGGGGCCCCCGTCGGGGAGGGGTGAAAGGTCTCAGAAAAGAGCGAACTGCAGGCGTCTGAGACCCCCCCGCCCATCCTACATGCAGTGTGTCGAACCCAGACCCGCGCAGCGCAGAGGGAGTTCAACACACGCCGCCGTGCCCGGCAGCCCTCAGTGCATTCAGGCAGAAGTATGCGCTGTGCTCTTAATTCAGGTGTCATTTTTCTATATAAATATTGTAAATTAGTCAAGTGTTTGCCCATCAGCACACACACGCTGGGCTATTAATCCCCTCTCGCGCACCTGGGCAGTACTACTGCGTAATATTATTGTTGCTATTATTATTATTGTAATTATTAATATTATTATTAATTATTTTTAATAAATATATTCCTTTTTTTGAGGCAGTTTTTTTATTTTTTTAAGTTTCCGGACTGTTACTGGCTCCTTTCCTTTAGGCTATTGTATGGACATTTGGATCACGACGTGAACATTTCAAGGAAAATACGTTTTGTGGGGAGGTGAGGTGAGGGCTCGTGTTGAACTCGTCAGGAGTCCTTCAGGGCTCCCCGCCCCGCTCTGCGTCTGGATATTGAGCGTTCCTCTTGAGGTCTGTGGCCTGCAGAGGCTCCTGGACTGTGCCCAAGAAGCGTGGAGCAGCAGTGGAGTCCTGGCAGGCGGGTTGTGAAGACAGGCCGCCCGCATCCTCCACCTTGACACAAGACCCCATCCGCACGGCCTGAGGAGGAACTCGGCTCTTCAGGACCCGGAGATCTGAAACACGCTGGAGAGCAACACAAAGAGAAGAGACTGCTATAATATGAATATTTTGTACATTTTTAACACCTGGGATTTCCTTCAAAAAAAAAGCTAACAATGAAAATGTTTTGGTTATTTATTTGGGTGTGTGTTTTTTCTTCTTGAGCATGGTTGCGTTGCCCGTCTGGGGAGGGACATTGTGTGAGAGCATGTCCACAGGGCTGTATTGGGACAGAGTGGAAGAGCTGCTCTGCTTGACCTCGCCCTACCAGAACTAAGAGCTGGTCCGCGTGCTTGTGCTAACTAGAATAACACTGCAGCACATGCCAGGGTTATTCGCTCGTTACTCCACTCATCCAGTAACACGGGGTCAAGTTCTGTAGTTATTCCACTGTTGGTGTAAGGTAGCGTCCCGAGCTGTAGTTATTCCACTAATGCAGTAACACAGGGCCGTAAGCCGCAGTTATTCCACTAATAGTGTAAAACAGGGCTGTGCTCTGCAGTTATTCCACTAATTCAGTTTCAAGACCATGTTGTAGCTGCAGTTATTCCACGTACAGAGTTACAAAGGGGCCATGTGCTGCAGTTATTTCACTAATGCAGTGACAAGGCCGTGAGCTGCACTTCTTCCACTAATAGTGTAAAATGGGTCTGTTACTAAAACTATTCAATGATCTGCAGCTGCTTTATCAGGATCACAAGCACAATAAGCAAGTGCAACAAATCGAGGTGCTGAATTGCTCCCTAAAATCCAAAAAGTATTTCACTAGGGAAAAACGACATCCAAAGATTGAAAGCCTGGTGAGAAATGTGATTTATCCTGCTTGATTAATCGTTACTAGCCACCCCCCTACTCTTCTCAAGAAACATCCTGGGATTTTTAATGACCACAGAGTCAGGACCTCAGTTTTAGGTCTCATCCAATGGAAAGTGTCTTTTACTGGGGCATTAGGACCCACAGACTGCAGGGTGAGCGCCCCCTACTGGCCCCACGAACACCTCTTCCAGCAGCAGCCTCAGCTTTCCCAGGAGTCTCCCCTCCAGGTGCTGACAAGGCTCTTACTGCTGAGCCTCAGTGGGCTGAAGGCTGTGAGCTGCAGGGTGATACAGCTGACATTCCTCCATGTGTCCAAGTGCACAGTTATCCCCCTGCCCCCCTCACGTTGGCCGGGCTGACTGGCACAGAGCCACTTCTTTCTAAAAGGCAGCTGTTTAATGGTGAGGAACATGCATTGTGCATGGTGTGATCCCACTACCCACATCCCCCCCTGTACCGCACTGTCGCTGTCCGGTACCCCATTGTCCCTGCGCCGTACCCCACTCTCGCTGTCCTGTAGCCCACTGTCCCACTGGGGCTGAGGTCCGGCTCGCCGTGACCCCCGGATTCTGAAGGGATTCCAAGCTTGCCCGAGTTTCCCCTGGAAACGTCTCAGTCCCTCGCTCACTAGCGCAAGAGGGAGCCGCTTGTTCTGAAGAGGCCCAGCTGTGTGCAGGAGTTAGGGCACGCCTGGTCACACTGCATGAGTCGCCGAGTCATAACCCTCGCAGACGTCCAGACTTCAACAAGACATCTTTCTGCACATTTTAGAGCACCATTCAGATCAGATCACTTCATTGGTCATATACAATCTCTTGCATTAGGAATTTGTCTTTTCTCAGACCCCAGCTTGCTCCCCATGAGACACACAGACAGGGAGAGAGAAGCTGGGGGTCAGAGCGCAGGGTCAGCCATGTATACAGCACCCCTGGAGCAGCTGGGGTTAAGGACCTTGCTCAGGGGCCCAATGAAGTAGGATTCCTCTGCTGGCCGCGGGATTTGAACTGGCAACCTTCCAGCCACAGGCACAGATCCTGAGCCACAGAGCCCCGTTACTATTTCTTTGCTAATCATCCAGTTGATTCATCAGAACTTTTCTTAAGCCTTCAAAACTTGATTGGCTCCTTGGGCCTTAAATTAAACGAGACGAAGACACTTCCAGAGTTAAAGACGGACCCCGCTAACCTCTCAGGGTGCTGTGCCTACCCTCAGCCACCATGGGCTCCTCTAAGCAGCTGACTGAGGACTTGAAAATAAAGACACGCGACTCTTACAAAGCAGGGGAAGGCTTTAAAAAGACATCTAAAAGCCTCCAACTTGGAATCTCCACCATCAGAAACATCGTGAAGAAATGGAAGTCAAAGGGAACCGTTGAAGTCAAAAACAGAAAACTGAACTGCTCGTAAACTGGTCAGATATACGCAGCAGAACCCACCTATCGCTGCAGAGGAGCTGCAGAAAGGTTAAAGTGCCACCGCAGTAGTGGTCCACAGGTCCACAGTACAGCCTGGCTTACACAAAAATGATCTGCACGGGAGAGCTGTCAGCAGGAAACGTCCTCAGAAGAGGCGACGTTGGAAGTATGCAAACCAATACTGGGATAAGGCGGAAACCGTTTGGAACAAAGGGCAGGTGGACTGATGAAACAGAAATTGAAAAGGTTTGGCCACAGCCACAGAAGATGCATTTGGAGAGAGACAGGTGAGGTATTGGAAGAAAAGAACACCTCGCCAGCTGTTCAGCACGGGGGGTGGATCCGTTACGCTTGGGAGTCGTGTGGCAGCCGGCGGCACAGGAGCCAGTGTGCGGGTAGAGGGGAGAATGGACTCTACTAAATATCCACACATCCTAGAAGCTCGTGTCCCAGAGTCAGTGAAGAAATGGAAGCTGAAAAGAGGCTGTATGTTTCAGCACGACGGCAATCCAAACATCCCTCAGAATCAACCATGAAGTACTAACAGGAACGGAAGATGAAGGTTTTGGAATGGCCTTCACGGTCCCCAGGCTTGAATAGTATTGAACATCTGTGGGGAGATCTCGACTGCACTGTACTACAGCTGCACATTACTGCTGCTGTTAATCCTACAGCTAGAAATCACTGTGGGTGTTCATGTGTTTTTTCGAAATTATTTCTACTATTAATACTACTGCTATACATAACTGTTGAGGTTAAGGCTTATCCCCTACAATTAATTCTGCTGTTAATACTACTGCTGTCTATTACTGCTGATGTTGACGCTACTGGTTATGTCATGGATCAGGTGACCCCTAAATTCAGGCTTGTTTTTACTGCAGCTCACATCTGGCAGCCCCCTTGGGCTCAGCAGGTGTGAGCCTGGTCAGTACCTGGAGGGGAGACTGCTGGGAAAGCTGAGGTTGCAGCTGGAAGAGGTGTTAGTGGGGCCAGTAGGGGGCGCTCACCCCAGAGTCTGTGTGGGTCCTTATGCCCCAGCATAGTGATGGAGACATATTATTCTGTAAAAAGGCGCAGTCCTTCAGATGAGACATAAAACCGAGGTCCTGACTCTCTGTGGTCATTAAAAATCCCAGGGTGTTTCTTGAAAAGAGTAGGGGTGTTACCCCAGCATCCTGGCCAAATTTCTCCCTGACCTTTACCAGTCATGGCCTCCTAATAATCCCCCTCTCTGAACTGGCTTCATCACTCTGCTCTCCTCCCCACTGAGAGCTGGTGTGTGTGAGCAGACTGGAGCATCATCCAGGTGGGGCTGCACACTGGTGGTGGAGGGGAGTCCCCATTACCTGTGAAGAGCTTTGAGTGGAGTGTCCAGAAAAGTGCTATATAACTGTAAGCAATAATTATTATTATTATTATTATTATTGTTATTACTATTACTGCTTCTATTACTCTGTTGTTATTACTGTGTTATTAATACTACTGCTGTAAATACTCCTACCTCTATTACTGTGGCTATTAATAATACTGCTG